TGCACACACACACACACACACACACACACACACACACACACAGAGTTGACGTGTTTTCTCGTCAACGTCAATGGCAATGCACTGGCTGTACAACAAAGCAGCAGCCCGAATTGTGTAAATGGGAATCCATTCGAATGGAGTGAAAAACGCAATGGAAAAAAGTGCTCGCGCGCGCAAGCCATCAACAATGTTGAAACGTTTATTGAATCAAATCGTTTATTAATAATAATTCGAAGTGTATGTGTGTGTGTGTGTATAAAATCAAATTATTAATTTGAAAGAGTGCAACGCAAAAGACAAAGCAAAAAAGAAGCAGCGCGCTTGGCCAAAGGGAGAACAAACAACCGAAATGAAAACAATAAATGTATCAAATGGAAGAAGAAAAAAATCGCAACGGAATAAGTCGTTTTTCATTGCCAATTGAGGTACTAAAAAATTAAGCGGGAAAAGTGTTTGGCTAGGTTCAAACCATGCGAACGACTAAATGCACACCGAATAATAATAATACGACTAATGATAAAACAAAACAACAACAACAAAAAAACCGAAATGGTAGCTTGAAAAATAAAAACAATTCAATCATTTTTCATTATTTCTTAATTTGTGTACTTCGAAATGCTCATTGCTACGAACGTGTAGCGTTTCGTTTTTCCTGTGCAATGTTTTCCTTTCATTAACCCCTTTTTTTCTCTCCATTTCTCTGTGTATACGTATCGTGTTTTCGTTTGATTTTGATTTGTTTGTTTCTTTCTTTTGTTGCTTGAGATTTGTGGCGTCTGCTGCTGCGTTGAATTTTCTGCCCCAACACACGCACGCACACACACACTCTCGCAAATACTCGGTTTTCAAAGCCATTTTTCATTGCTCCAACAATCGGTAAATGAGTGCACTGCACACACACACACACACACACACACACATACGTTCAGATCGAAGAAGAAAGAAAAATAAAAACCATTTAATTACAGCACAATCAACAATTGTCTGAACCGGCGCGGCGCGGTCGAATGTGTGTATCGCTTTTACCCATTTGATTTATGAATATATTGTGCATTGTTTGTCAGTGAGAACATCCGACTTCGACTCTAAACAACAATATCCATTGCCAATGAATAAATTATCAGCATGCAGTGACTCTCAGCTTTGCTCTACAGATGAAAAGAAGCGTTGTTTCTTTTCTTCTCTTTCAAGGCGCATACACACGTAGACTATCATTTAAAGATCGTGTGTCGTTTTGTTATGCAAACCGCGAAATTAAAAAGGAACGCACCTATTTCAAATGGTTCAAGATCAAAGTACTTTGAACCAATGTCTCTTGCTCTCTTCCCCATCTTTCTCTTTGTCTGCTTCACCGCTAATTTAAGCTCATTAAAATTTCTGCGAATCCAAATGAATGTTAATCGACGTATATTCATTGGTATAATTGTTTGTTTTGTCGATAAAAAAATCCACATCACCAGGATCCATCGTTCGTTTGGCTCCTGTGAACTAGGCAGCACCGAGCAAATTAAAAACCCACACACATGCGACGTGTGCATGTCCAACGGCGATAAATTTCAGTTTGATCCGGCTGAGATTCGTCTTAATTCATTCACATGATTCGTTGTTTGTTTCATTAAAAATTAGAGAGACAAAAAGCGTTTGGATGTCGAGCAGATAATTCGTTGCGGCTTGCTTCAAAGTAGTGGAAAGAAAAAGTTTGCGAAACGTCAGGTTAGGCCGCAAAGAGGCAATTGACGCAAAAACAAAGAGAAACAGAAAAACGTCAAAGTTTAATCCATAGCAATTAACGACACAATGAAAATTGAATTAAACGAAAAATTCATTTTTTTTAACGAATTAGACACATGAACGCAAAGACAATTTTCGTTGACAACTCACGATGTTCAGATTTCAAAACGAATCGTGTGTGCAAAATGAATGTGCTGCAAACGTAGTTGCATGCGACACAAGCTATAATCAAGTAGCTACTTTGGTTGCATCTATTTGTATAGAAATTACCATACGAGATTTCATTTAATGAGATGCATTGATAACAGGAACGGAATACATACCCACTGAATATGTGCACGGTTTTGTGAAGCAATTTCGAAATTGAAAAATGTCACTTTTGTCATTATATAATGATTGGTTCATACCTACATCTGACAAGTCATGCATTCGAATCATTGAAAGTGTGATAATTGATTTACACATTTTAACATGTTAGCTGCGAATGAAGAAAGGAAAAAAATAACAACAGCAGCGACAACGGCAAATGTCGAACGGTATAAAAGTGGGCTTTATGTATAGGCTCAGAGTTCCGTTCGCGGCATGTTCCGTTGCAAAAGCCATCCCCGGAAGATGTGTATGTACATTCAATCACACGCGTATATTACTTTCTTCTTTATATCCATTGATTTTGAGCACTCATTCACTTGATCGTCCGCATTTAAAACGTCAAAGTCAACACACAGCCAATGCCGAAATGTAATGCTAACGGGATTTTGCTCAATGGAAATTACGTAAACACCGTCCGAATGAAATAAAATGCGTTCGCTCGTTTATAATTCATTTTAATAAATTTATGTGCGCTTTCTTTCATGAAAGCGAAATTAAATGGTGGCGACGACAACGACGACGATGGTGGAGGCCAAGGCAAAGAAAGCAAATGAACGTCAAATTATAGAAACAATTGCAATAAATGTGCGCAATAACCAGCGCCTTTCGCATAATCGGCAAGAGGTTCGTTTTGAGCGGCTAAGCGTGTGTGTGTGTGTGTGTGTGTGTGTGTTTGTGTGCGTGCATCAGGTGTCTTTGTGATCAAATGTTATGTTCATTGTGTATGCTCGAAGTTTCTCCATTTTCCGGTCGGTCGCCACAAACAGTCAGCCTTCTATGATTCAACTTTTTTCTTCTTCGTTTCATTTTTTTTTCGTCGGTTTTTGCGCTTCGTGTTGCCCCGCGCTGCCACATGGAGTGACAACGTTCAATGTGCAACGATAAATTTTAGTGTGTGTAATGTGCAAATAATTATGCAAACAATCGCGCGTGATCATCTCCGTGTGTCATTCCCATCGTTAATTTGAGTCGGTTGTTGCTGCTGTTGTTGTTTTTTTTTTTTCATTCGTTCACTGTTGACCAATTCATGACTAACTAACTAACTCAATTTCTAAGGCCCAATTCAATGTGCGCTCATTCATTTTGGAAACCATACAAAAATGCCTATTTTCACTAATTAAACTCACCATACAATGGACAGACACACTTGATTCCATCAAAGAAACCTATTGAATTCAGATATATGAACAATCAAAACGATATTTAGAGACGGTGAGAAAGAAATTTCATTTCACATCTTTTCTTTTCGCTTAATGTCATTAGCATGAGTTTTTGCAACAGACACACACTCACACACAAAACAAACGTAAATCACAACCGATTTTGAGTGCGAGCTTTTGTTTGGCATGAAAATGGAAAGAATGTTCTTGGAAAAATGTTGAAGCATGCAAGAGAAGCCGGACACGAATCGTTCATTATCTCGCGTCGGCTCAGACTTCATTTTGTTATCTTTGTAAAGCAACCAATCAAACTAGATTGCTGACGAAAACCGCACACCTTCTGATGCACACAATCTCGAAAATAGCGAATGAACGAGTCTTCCGATATGGAAGCCTTTATTCGTACGTATTTTGAAAGTGAAAATTAAACACACATACTCGGTCTATAGCCGTTGTCGTGTCATTACCAATGTTGCTATGATTGTCGGCAATTTAGCTTCTTCTTAGCCAAACCGATTTTGTGAGCGAATGAGTGAGTGTGAGTGGATTCACGTTCGCGCCCGTGCGACCGCTGAAAAATCGTTGTATTCAATGGCCTGTCTATCGATCATTTATTAACTTCAATTATCATTATCGGCACATTCGCTGTTGATGTTGTCGTCGTCGTTGTCGTCGTCGTCGTTGTCGTTCAAAATGAGTGTGAGTGTGGAAATATGATTTGAACTCGAAATGCCTTGGCCAAGCCATTGCAAGGATCAATAAGGCGGGTTTTCCATTAGTTTTATTGGAAAATGCGAGCGTCTACAAACGGGAAAAACCAGTTGCCATAGCGCAACTGCTATCGAATATAACCATTGTTTTGTATCCAAGCGGTTCGATGAGATTGTAACGACATTCAAGAAAATCGAATGCCAAGAGAGTATGTGAAAAAAATGAATAAAATGCACAAAAATCGAAATATCGAAATCAAAAAGGATTCATTCCATTGCCGTTACTTTTGATCGAAAATCCAAACGAGACTTCAAACTTGCGGCTTAAAATTGAGCAAGCGCTGCAACACGAACATATTGACATTGGCCATAGTCGTTCCGCTGAAATTGATTCGATGGCATTCCAGTTGCAGCAAAAACCAACAACACACACACACACACGATTTATGCGCATTTCTTCATTTACTTGTCAATTTTTGCTACATATAAGACACATGGCGCAACAAGTCAAGAGCGATTGCTTATTTAATATCGCCAAAGAAATGTGTGTATGTAAACTATTTGTAGTTTGGTTACTTTGTCTCGTTGCTGCTTGTTGTCTGCATGTTTTTTTCTTCTTCTTCTTCTTTGACTTCATTGCTTTATGCACATTTAAGCGCTGCGATGGAAGTCGTTTTGAAAGAAAGTGAAATTTATCTATGAATATCGCGATCGTCGTCGATTGTATAGGCTTTGTGTGTTTGCCATCGATGTGTACATATGTACGAACTAATAGAAATAATAAAAAAAAACATCTTTAGTGTGATGGAAAAATTCGTAGCTTCGAAGACTGTTTTCGCTGTTTCAATGTGAAACAGAAAATCGATCGATTTTGTCATCACACGCCATTTCTTCGGGTCCCAAAAATGATAAAAACTCTAAAGATTAAAGCGTCCACTGTAGCCGCTGTTATATTGTAATTGTTGTTGCTGCTGCTGTTGATCTGCACTAATAATGTAATTTAATTTTTTTTTCTTCATTTCTGTTTCAGAGAGCTACGACCACGAGCAACATAAAAACAACACCAAAAACATAATCTTAGCCGACGAAGCGAGCTAACGACAGAGAAGGAGCACCAAGTGCAAGTGAAAGAGAGGCAAGGAGGGAGAGAGAGAAGAAGCAGAAGAGAAAAAAATAACACCGAACCGTTTTTGTCGCGTTTTGATTGTTGACTTGCACACATAGACCGTGGCGCAGTTGGTGGCTGTTGTACACAAATCGCTGAGTGGAACCAACGAAAATAAAAAATCAAAAGAAAAAAAAAACACAGCCACACAACAAAAACAACCAAAACGAGAAAACCTTAAACCCAGCCATCGACAAAACGCGATCGACGGAGGAATCGACGGCGCGCTTACAGCAAAAAGATCACCGATCCACACACTCAGTTTGCTTAAACAGTCCGTTTCATTCATTTCGTCTGCATGTGACTCTTGTGATTCGCGCGCGCATGCTTGTTCGTTCGTTCGGTGATTCAGTGTTCAGCGTACTCTCTGTTCCGTACGTGTTCCATCGTCGTCTTGGTATAAATGTCTATATCGAACACATGAACTGAAAACTGAATGAAAGAAGAAGAAAGAAAAATTATATTTCAAGTGTAAACACCAGAAAAAAAGTGAAACTCTATGATTTCGAATGCAAACGTTAAACAAGATTAAAAGTGAAATTTCGACTCTTAAGTCTTTCTTAGTTCGTTGGTTTATGTTTGACAGTGGTACTGGTTCGCTGTCATCTCGTTGAACTTGCTTTATGGTTTTGTATAACCCATAAATCGGTGTAATTTCATCTGGTGCATTTGCAAACGGCGAATGCGCGCAAAGCAGCAACAACAACAGCCAAAATTGTTGAATAAATGCGATTCAGCGCAACAGACTACCGTTTGAATTGAGTTTGTTTTTTCCGCGCAAATTGTGAGACACTAACTATTTTCGAAGGTGATTGTTGGCTGTCGTCGCACTATTTACGTTTTTTTTTTTTTTTTGAGCGATCGTGATAATAAGTAGAAATGAACTAAATCTTCCGTCATTTCGATGGATTTGTAAATAACCTTATTGGCTGCCAAAGTTCAGCAACTACATTCATTCAATTCGACATCTTTGGTGACTTGGCCAAACCATATTGTGATCTTCAATAGTGGGCTTTCGTTTTTGGTCGGAATTCATTTACAATTTTCGTCTCATCGAAAGCGGTGTGTACAATTTTGCTGTAGCAGCATCAACGTTTTTGTGCAACGATAAATGTTCGAGAGTCAAATTTTCCGTGTAACTGTGACAAAAATCAAGCGACGAAATAAACACAATCCACAGAAAATAAAACAGAAATAATGCATGGCAATCGATCGAATGCGGTGTGATTTAAAACAGAAATAAATGCGTGCGTTGGTCAACCATCACATCGAACACACCACAAAGTGCAATCGAAATTTTGTGTAACAAAATCCCACAAAACAGTGTTTCAGTGCTCATTTCTCGTCGTCGTCCGTTTAATTATTTGTGTTAATTTTCTAGCAATAAATCATGTTAGGTCCCAATAAATGGAGACTTTTAACAATCGTAGCTGGTATTCTATTAGCGCATGCCATTGATTCACCAAATCGATCAGCTCCACGATTAAATGAGCCAACCAGTCAACAACAAAATCGGCGCACATCGGCGTTTGCCTCACTATCACCATCATTGTTATCATCAATAAAATCCCGAACAAATGCACCAGCCTCGCCAACATCTACACACTTAGGTTTAACGATAGAAACCGTTGCACCAACATGGAATAGTTATAGTAGTAATAGGAATAGTTTTAGTGAACGACGCTTAGCTAGAAATTTGTATACACCATATAAGCGGTTTTCGAATATTGACGATGTGCGATACGTCCAGCGCCGCCAAACAACTGGCTACCGAAATAATATACTCGATCGGCATACAACGTTCGGTGCATTTCGGTTTTCGGCGCCACCAGCAGCAACAGGGGCCGGAGCACCTGCCACCGTTGTGAATACAGCGAGACGGCGATCGGATGTCGATGTGCCAGTAACACCGCTTACATATGCAAACGCAACGCTAACAAATCCATTGAACGAGGATGGCGTTGTGACAACGTCCAATCCAACCACGTTACAAGTGATAAAACGTCGCAAATACAAATACATTCCGTTGTTCAATAGCAAAGCGCCCACATTCGATGTGGAAGCCACAACGTTGCCCGATCAAGAGATTCGATCGAGAACGGATCTAAATTTCTATGCAGATGATCACGATGAAAAACAATCGGAAAAACTAGACGAGCAATTGGCCCAGGGTTCCGAAACGCTTCCACAAGCCTTGGCCCTGCAATCCACGTATCAATCACATGTTTCGAATAAGGTTGCATTTCCGGTGCCAACATTCGAAGCTCCCGTTAAAACAATGACACAAATTTCCGATCTACAAGGTCGTCGCTCCGGTTTAACGTTTACACAACAAACACCCAAATTTGATCCACCATATGTGCCGCAATCGTATCAGGAAGACGATCCAAACCATCCAAATTTCCAAGTTCCATACAGTGAAGAGCTGTCAGCGCCGGAACCAACTGAAATTCGTACGGTACGCGGTGTTCACTATGAAAACTATCCACATCGTTCGTCGGTCGTTCAATTTCCCGGTCCCAGCACAAATCACAATGCCAAACAGTTCCGTGATGATGTCACCAAATTTGGTGATGCTAATGGACCGATCACATCGATGCAACAGCGTCAGTTCAACGATTACTACGATGGTCTGCGAACCTATGAAAATATCTACTATTCGGATGATTATCGCCGGCCTCGCACCTATCCAAATCGATCGCCATACTATGAATCGTCTTCGTATAATGGCGAATATTCCGGTCAACCGTTGCGTTCACGTCTTATCGTACCATACAAATCATCACGAACACCACGCGTCATTTTCCCCAGCAATGACAATCTACCCGCTGGCCTATACAATGGCGAAAATTATAGCAATAACGACAATGTCGTTTTCAGGTAAGATTCCGCCGATCTGTATATCAAATTTAATAGAGTGGATAAATAATAATTTGCAATAATCGTGAAGCAGTGAAGAGTACACAGAAACTAGAGTCTAGAATGAATTAACTTGGTCGATGAATGGTTGATGATATGGCTATTGACCTCTATCAGAACCAACAATCATCACCTTGTCCATTTTGCCAATTTAAAATTAATGCATCCGCATGGCATCTCCACATTTGGCTACTGCCTACATTCGACCTACATTTTTTTCGTTTTTTTTTCTTTTCCCCATTGAATCCATTCCATTTTTATATTTCAATTGTGCTACTATGAATAGCTGGATTTCTCAATTTGGCCAATCGATAAAATAATGGGCAGTAGAGTGCAGCTTCAGTGCGTGCCGAACGAAGCCAAAATTTGCAAACACACAAAAAGATTTGCATTGTGAGAGAGTCACAATTAAGACAAACTGCTTGTAATTATGCAGTTTTTTTTCCTTTTGTTTTCTGTCGAAATTCAAAAGTGTTATTTTAAATAAATGTTGCATATTTCCTTTGCCATATTCATTTTTTGGCCATCCATCTTTCGTCCATTGTTTGCCATTTAGGTAAACTTTCCATTTTACCGAAAAAGCAGCAGCAGCAGCAACAACAACAGCAACCACAAACTTTTAATTATTATACAAATGGTCCGATGCATAGCAAATAAAGCCCGAGAGAGAGAGAGAGAGAGAACCAGCCATTATGCGAAATTATATGCAAAGTGGCCTCTCAAACTCACCATTGTGTGTATTTGAATTTTATTTTTGATGATGTGTGATTCAATTCGATTTTATTTTTATTGTTTTGTTGTGGTTTTTCTTTCTTATTCAGAGATCAAAATTTCGGATTAAATGAACTGGCAGCAATCCAGGACGTTCGAAATGAATACAATTTACAGGATATAACCGATGAGCCGCCGTCATCATCATCATCATCAGCAGCAGGAGCGGCAGCAACATCGGCCGCTACAAATGATCGCGGTAAGTGCTTAGTTAGTTGCTATTCGCAAAACTAATCAATGTTCTCATCCGCGGAAGCGTGCATAAAATGCAATTTAGTTTTGAAGCCATTTTTAAGGGATTTTGACCATAATAATCAATTAGCAACGAGTCCAGTATGGAATTTGTAGACAATTTGAATTATTGTGATAATTTTTGTTTATTTTTGGACACACACACACACATAGTGGCAGAGTCAAAAAATATATAACCCAGCTTTTGACATTTAACCTGACTAAATCTATACCAACACATACCAACAAAAAAATAGAACAAACATTTTCAACGCAGAAAAAAAAAACGAACTGAATTTAAAACATCAAATTCCAATACACACCCAACGACACAGTCTTGTTTGTATAGAAGAGGGACATAACATTAGGTATTTTTTTTCGTGCGTTTTGAACAAAGTGATGAAACGAAAACTAGTCAAACGAAGAAAATTCACTTGGACGATATATATTTTTCACTCAAACGCACTCATTTGTTTGCAAGTCATGCATTTGGTCAGTTGAATTTTGTTCATGTTCGGATTTAGTCTAGTATATTTTCCCTTGTGATCATATGAGCTACCCCAGTCACATCCACTCCGAACATTTATACATGTTGTATTTTGTGTAGATTATGTAATTAGAATGTAGAATACTTTCCATTTTTCTCTACTGCTTTTATATTCTATTTTACGTTTCCCTTGTTTTACTTTGTTGTTGTATCAAAAAAAGGACTCACGGAACAAATGTTTGAATCGCATAAAATGCACATAGATTTTCATTCGTTCTGGATAATTGTGTGTGTGTTTTTTTTTCTGTATTTTTCTATACGTTGTAAATTTTATTTTGTAGATGCAATGTAATAATTGTGTGTTTTTTTTTGTTGCTTTTAACATTGTTTGTTTGTTGTCTCCTTGTTCGTGCCATTTGTCGATCGATCGGTGTGTATAAAATCTCAGAATGCAAATCATAAAAGTAAACGTTAAGACGTATGATTTATTTATAAAGCGCCTATAAAAACATATAAATATCATACATCATTCAATGGAAAAGATGAAGAAAAAAAATTATCAAAAAGATTAGCATGCATTTGGCCTATGGTGTGCAAACGAAGAAAAAAAAACCACAACGACACAAAATTTCTCCGTCAAATCATCACATGGCGTTGGCGACTGTATATGGATGTGTAAAATCTCTGTTATATATATATATACATATGTAGGTTTTGTGTAGAGTTGAGCGAGAGACGAACGAACGGAGAAAAAAAAGTGAAAAGATCGTGTCGGTGATTTTGTAAAATACGTTAAATTGTGCACGCTTTATTAACGAAGCGATTTTGGTGTTTTTCCTCTTCCGAAATAAAGCAAAGAAGTAGCGAGAAAATAACAAGACAGATCATGAGCTTAAACAGAAGAAAATCGTTGTGTTTCTATTCATCTCGCAAAAAGAGAGACATTTAACGGCCATATTTTTGCATTTAATGGTCTCTGAATTTAAATAATTAAATTAATTTTTTCTTCTGATATCTATGCCATTTCTCCGAAGTGTTGTTTTTTTCTGCTTCAATTTTGTCTATCTATGCATACATACAATTCTGGCATATGATGACTCATCCGTTTGTCTGATGTGGTTGTTGTTTTTTCTCGACTGATTTCCATCACAATTGGAATATTTCCATGATGCAAACATTTCAAAGAATCTAAACTTGGATGCATTGTGTGCATGACATCAAAAGAAAAAGAAACCAATGCAAGCTTTTGTCACAACACATTCGGGGAAAAAGTGCGTTTTAAGCTGGAGATGAAGATGAAGATGAAAAGAAACTTCACTTGAAAACTGAAAGACGAGACCGATCTTTTATAACGCATAATTTGTATTGTATTATGGCAGTCACTCGACAGTGGCGATTCGTATGGCTTTTATGTGGTGTGTGTGTGTATGTTTGTGTTTCTGTAAAAAAAAATTTCTCTGTACATAGCCTGTGTATATGATTTTTTGTTATTTTTTTTTCTTCTGTAAACTGTATTATATGGTACATAAATAAATTAGCATAAAATTTTGTTTTTATTCTGTTATTGTTGATGGAAATGTACATCCAGTGCCCATATAAAGTGCGCGAGCCTCGCCGCACATCTACTGTACACACTGCATAAATTGGCAAAATTATGACGTAAAAAAATCAACAAAACGCATGGCTGAAATGAAGAAACAAAAAAATAAACATATAAATAAAAAGCACATAAAGCAAAACATCAGCAATAACAAAATGAAATGAAAAAAGAAAGAAAGAAAAACTCATACAAAAAGCACTTTCTCCTGGAAACGCATCTCTTTCTCCGCTTATATGATATAATTTGCTGCTCATCGATTTAACACATTTATATGGATCCAGCCAGCATAGGGCGAAATTCATAACATAATACAGCGGCGTGCATTCAATGCGGAAAATAGCAACACATTCCCTTTGCAAAACGAAAAAATAACAAACTAAATCAAAGAAGCGCCGAAAAAAACTGCTCATCATATGAATGGAATGAAATACAAAAAGTAGAAGCAATGGAATGCCGCTAAAAGTCGGAAGCTTTCGACGAATAAATTGTGAATTCAAACACACATCGATTTGGACGGAATTCGGAAAAATGCCTTGAAATCCGAAAATGTCTGTGTACGAATTTTCTTTTTCGGTATTGTTTGGTAATAGCTGCCGGATTTACACTTTCAATGTGTTCCTATTGATTTGGTGGCGAGAGAGAAAAAAACACTTCGTTTTTTGCTTCGCATTAAAAGTTTGGAATGGAATTGAAAACGGCAGCACAATTTTTGTGAGATGATAAAACTGAGCGAATTATCACGAAACAAGACCAAATGGTTACACAGATTGCTGCTCAAAACAGTAATTACAGCGTATGAAGTGTTGAAATTGATTGAAATGACTGTCTTCTTCGGTGTTCCTCCCCAATTAAGCGAAATGAAGATTGACGTTTGGAATATAATTTCACCGGTCGTTTAGTAGTTTTTTTTTTCACCATTGTCGTATCTTGCGATCGTCGCAAGACCATTTCTTTTGCCCAAACTCCTTTTTTTTATTCACTCTCATCATCTTCCGCCTTGAACGAAAAAAAAATCGTCATCATCTCAGATATGAAAGTCGATGCGGTCTTTGCTCTGGTCTTCATTTACCTTCTATTTTTTTTATTTTTATCTTCGTTAGTAATATTTTTTTCGTGTAAAAAAATTTCTCGCATCTTTCGGTTTGTGTAGTGTTTTTTTTTTTCTCGACATGAATCAAATAAATTTGAAACGTTAACCAATATCAACCATTCACTATCGTCTTGCATGCATATCGCTGCTGCTTTTCCTGTGCAAACGTGCATCAGGTTTTTCGAATGTATAATTTATATATGTGGTTTGTTTTTTTTTCTTGGTCGTCGTCGTCGTCGTCGTCGTCGTCGTCTTCTAAATCGAAATACCTGCATTTCAACTACTTTGATTTGTTTTTCTTGCGGCTTTGAACTGATAACTACAATCTCGAAACTAGCGGCCAGTGAAACTCATTTGTTGTAAGCGAACGAAATATGTGTGTGTGTTGAATATTTGCATTACATTTGCAATGGTCCAATATTGTCATTGACATTTTGGCGTTTAACTTGAATAATCGCATCGATGCCACGTCCCTTTCGTCCCAATACGGAGCATATGTTCGGCATGTCATTTCCATTAAATTGGCAAAGCAATAGCAAGTTCAAGTACAGTACAAGAAATTATCAAGAGCACTAACCAAACTAATCGAATCCAAATTAAAACGATCACTTGCATTTTCCGATGTGTCTTTTTCATTTTGTCTTTCGATTTTCATGTTGCAAAAAAAACCACTTTCTTTCACGATTAAATCTCAATCGCATTTATAATTCGCTTGATGACCGCGAAATGAAATTCACCACATAAATTTGAAGAAAGGAAGAGAGTCAAAATCGATTTGTGCATTTGACGTTAATTGAATTTGAAGAGAAACCGAAAATAAAAGATTGCAAAAATGAATCCGAATTTACAGAGGTTGAATGTCATCAATCGTTTCTAATTTCCAACAAAGAAATAAAAACGACCATTTCGAATATGTTGAAAACTTTCATGGATGTCAAGCTAAACGAATAAAATGAGGTCTGCATTGAGTGACTTGCACAGTGAAATTTATACTCATTTTTATCGCTTATTTCTTGCATCATTTGCGTTTCGTCGTCTTCTTCTTTTTCTTCATTTTTCGTAATATCTTCCATTTTCGATATTACTCCATGCAAACGCAGTGCGTTGTTCCGAATATTGCGGAAATTGAAATTGTTTGATATAATATACGGAAAAGCGATCATCTATTCAGTGTTACCGATGATAATACATTACCCGATATTGTAATGCATCACTGCGATTGCAATATTCATTTTTTTGTACCATTTCATTCTGCATTCCCATGTGAATTCATCAGTGGAAAGAAAAATACTTTTCTTTTCAATGAAATATCTTATTTGCAAATAATGTAATCAATATGATTAGCTAAACTTTTGTACATCATAACATAATTTGTATCGATAAACGAAAACAGTGACATTCAAAATGGCAACACAGTCGCAAAGGTTGTCCATTCTGCTGGCCCGTTTCAATTTGATTCGATGTTTCAGCCGCCGGTAAATGAAAATTACGGTGAAATGTAATCGCATGATACGTTTTCCGAATGACACCACTACTGTGTGCGATCGCGTTGCAAACAAACTGGTGTAATTAAAATTTAACGAATGACAAACGAGCGTGGCGCGCGCGCACACCCCAACTTGCAATGCAATGCAAAAGAAAATTTCGGAAAAAGTGCCAATTAAAAGTGATCGTGATTAAATTGTGAAGAAAAGGTGTAGTTTTGCGCGCGTACGCTTACGAGCGTTCATCGAACGAACGCCAAACACTTCAATGCTTTCCATAGAATCCAAAATCAAAACACATTTTGTG